TAAATCAAGCAATTTCATCATTAAACATCAACCATCTTTCATCATCATGATTCATCGAAGCATTTATCTCAATATATATTTTTTTTCCGAAAGCAATAAATAAACTAAAATAACTAAACTAAAAAAAAAAATCCTACGGCATGCAAACTAAAAAGTTAAAGCACATAAAAGCAAGTAATTATCCACCCTCAAAATTAAAATTTACATTGCCCTCAATGTAATTAAAACAAGGTTCAAGGATAGAATACACCTGATTAGTCGAAAGGTCCTTCTCTGGGATGCACTCTTTGATGTTCGTTTGCTCCACCTTTAACGTCTGATACCCTTAGTATTTGATTTTCGACCTGAAAATTAAAACAAGATTAAATTATTAGTTTGCGCATGCTAAAATCCTAAGAAAAATAAAAGCAAAGAAAAATACGAAAATCGATAAATGCTCGGGTTGCCTCCCGAGAAGCGCTAAGTTTTAAGTCTTCAGCCAGACTTTGTTTCTTAAAACTGCTATGTCCAATCCAAAGCCTTGTAGATTGCACATCCATTAATTTGCTTTACTACATCTCTTTCAACCAATGCATGGACAGGGTTGCAATATGGGAGTGTCCACATCCACCTTAGTTGGCACCCTTATTTGTTAGTAAGCAATCGGTACAATACCAAGGTAGGATGTTCGTCATCCGCTTCCTCAAATCGGTATACAAAAATCTCCAGTATGCGTATAACCTCCACCTCAAACACATTAGCCTTCTCATCAACCACTATTGATGCCTTCAAATCCACATTTAGATCTACGATACGGTCCACAACTAGAATATCTTCAATCATTACATCCATCTCCTTCTTCTCTTGTTCTGAGGCATCTTTGGGGTTTAGCTCGATTGCATTCTCAGATTCATCATGCTCAAGTGTCTTCGTAATTTCTATTTCTCTCATATCGACACTATTTTATGAACATAGAAGATTTTTCTCATCGTAGGCTTCACCCGAATTTTCTTTGATATGACCATTGCCGATTTCGTCTGGAATATTTTCAAGAGACTCAGATTTTAATTTGAGCGTCATCTCTTCCAGTTGTATCTCCATGTTTCGAAATGATGTTAGAGTGGACTTCATGAATTCGGAAATGGGAGATACCAAATCAAGTTGTTCATTAGTGGTTTGTTGCTGCGATGGATAATAATTTGGAAAAGAAAATTATGGCTCTCTATGTTGAAACTCGTTCAAATCTTGGTCTTGAAAGCTTTGCTCATATGTGTTGGTGTGAGTGTTCCAATAATCTCTGTTGGTAATTTCGACGAAATTTGTCGCTTTTGGTGATCCCCAACATTGATCGGAATAATGATTTCCACCACATGCTGAACAAAATGGAGGCATATCATAGGTGTTTTGGAGCTATTCGTCACATGGAAGTCATTCATATTCCGTTTGAGGTGCCTGAACATTGTAACCAGACATGTAACAAAAAAAAAACAAAAAAAAAAATAAATAAATAAATAAAAATAAAAATTAAATGGCTGGAGTAAGAAAAATTGCTCAAATTTGATATTAGAATAAATACATAATTTAGCCGTATTCCCCGACAACGGCGCCAAAAACTTGTTGGGCTAAATACCTAACACGCAAGTGCACGTATCGCAAACAAGTAGTAAAAGTGGACTCGTGAGAGTCGGATGTCGATCCCACAGGGAATACTCAAATCATCTAATCCTAAGTACCAAATTCTAACAATTATGATTTTTATCCAGCCTACGCAAGGTTGTCAAATTTAACCAACTAAATAACTAAACTAATTATGAAAGCAAATAAATACGAGAAAATATCAATATAAAAACGGATCTAGGATTTTATCTTCCCCTATGCGATAATTCATCACCCAATTAGACCTCTATATATCATGCAAGTTACGATTCCTAATTATTAACCCGATACACTAAATTACTCATAACCCGCTGTCGCGTGTATTATGAGTCTGCTATTTATAACCGATTCACTATATGTCTATGCAAACCAATTATGAATAAAGCATTAAATAACAAGTCTCGTAAACGGCTACCTAAGGTATTATCTATATGTCTACGATAATACATGCAATTAACACACTCATCCTGTGAAAACTACTCGAAGGTTCTTCTATCCCTGTTATAATTATTAAAACGATATGTCAATCAATTCTAACAATAACATATAACAACATAAATTAGACAGGTTCATGCGCTAAATAAGATCAAATAGAAGAAATAATCATGAAATTTAAACTTGCATAATATTAGAAAAATAGGTTCGAATCACCACATAGGGTTCCAACAAAATCCTAGATTAAAAGTTTAGCTACTCATGTTTAAGAAAAAAATCATAAAAATATAAAAAGAAGTAGATTAAGAAAAGATAGATGAAAGAAGAATCCTGATGAAGATTTGTCAATTCTCCGTCTTCGATTCACCGTTCTCTCGCTCCTCTTCCTCCAAGATTGTGTAAAAAGTCTTTTGATTCGTGCTTGGTATTTGTCCTTTTATAGATGTCTCAACTTGGTAGAAGATTTAGGCTTCCTTGTGTGATTAAAAGTCCAAAATTACTTCCAGCGTGTTTTCACACGGCCGCGCCAAAAATAGGCTAAATCTGGTACGGCCGCGCTAGGCCAATTTTCAGAATCCGATTGTTTTCTTCCGTTTTTGCCCCTTTTTGACCTTTCTTGGCTCGTTTTCATCCTCGGAACTCCCAAATCGTCAAGTTGTACCTAAAATACAATAAACCACTCCTTAAGCACCATTAAATCAATAAAAGTATACAAAAATTCTCGTAACAAAGTATACATTGAGTGTAAAATATACACTCAACACAACCCAAGAGGTCAATTATCAAAATAGAACACTCATTTGATAACCCTATTGGAGTTAAAAACTTCTATTTTTTACTGTGTGAATGACGATTAAAGATTTGAATACCATGTTTGATAACCTCATTGGAGTTGCTCTAAGAAAATATAGTACACTAATATAGTAAAATTTAATAATAAAGTGTGATTCATATTTTACATAACATTAGTTTTTTTAAATCTTACATATTAAGATTTATAATCCAAATATAGATTAACATTTAACAAATGGAATTTCTATCCTTATCGTTTAAGATCGGAGATATATTGATAAAAAAAAATAGGAGATCAATAATTGTTGAAAACTATAGTTAAAAATTAGTAGAGAAAAAATATTAAAAATAAATAATTACAAAAGTACCATGAGGGTAGGATTCTTCACGGGTTGGTTTTAATTTGATAATTGCTAAAAATTATAGTTAGAAAATAGTAGAGAAAAAAATATTAAAAATAAATAATTACAAAAATACCATTAGGTTTTTTTAGCGTTGGCCAGCGTTTCTTTCTTTTATATATAAAATTATCTAATTTTTATTTTGGTGGTATTAAAGTGAAAAAAAAAAAGAATGTTAGTAGTTTTATCCTTTAGGCTTTTAACTGTTGAATTGAGGTTAAATTAGAATTTTAAAATATGAACTGAGTGTATTTAAAAACTATATGTAATTTTGTTACAAAAATTAGAGTTCCATTTATTAGTAATGAATATATAAGAGCATCTTCGATTGGTCGCTATATCGCCATTTTCTTATCTAATTTAAGTGTATTTAGCCTCCCACCCGAAATTCCTATATCACCATTACACCTAAAATTATGGAGATTTGGTTTAAGCCTCCCACCGCGGTCAACCCCCATATCACCATATACTCAAATCTTATTTTTCCACAAATTTTTTTGGTGAAGGAATTTTCATCTCCCACCGATTCACCATTTTCCTATTTTTTCCACCTAATCCTATATTTCCTACCAAATATAGAAGTGAAAATAGGATTTTGTATAATTAACACCATTTTGTTAAGTAGCATATAAAATGACGATTTTAACTAATTTCACTTGATTACCAACATATTAGCATATTGATCGTAAATAATAGGGGTGTGCACAAGCCGAACTCGCCTCTTTTGGCAGGCTCGAGCTCGAGCTCGAGTCTATTTTGTCGACCTCAAGCTCGTCGAGTTCGTTCTTTTGACGCTCGAGCTCGAGCTTGAGCCTAAGCTCATTTTTGTAGTTTTTTTTTTTTTGTAATATTTTTTTTTAATTATTATTTTATTATTTTAAAAAAATATTTAAAAATTAAAAAATAAACAATAAATTGTAATTATATATATATATATATATATATATATATATATATATATATATATATATATATATTGTTTATTTCTATAATATTTTATATTATTATACATTATTTAAATAAAAAATAATATATATATAAAAAAATTAATAATAATAATAAATAAGGCTCACGAGCCGGCTCGTGAGCTCACGAACAACTAAAAAGTGGCTAAAGCTCGAGCTCGAAAAATTCGAGTTCGAGTTCGAGTTCGAGTTTCTCTCGAGCCAGCTCATCGAGCTCACAAGTCGGCTCGACTCGTTTACCATTCCTAGTAAATACATTGGTGTTAATTAACATTGGATCTATAATTAATATTTATGAAATAAAATATAATAAAATTACGATTAACATTAGATTTATAATTTTGGTTGGGGCATATATGGTGAAATGTCGTGGGAGACCGAACCAAATTCCATTTTCTATAAGTGGTGAAATGGTGAAATATTATTATTTTAATATTTAGTCTAAATTTTGGTGAAACCTATTGGAGACCAAAAACACAAATTTGTCACCAAAAATGGTGAACTGGTAAAATTGTGTGCTGCCGTTGGAGATGAACCCATTTTTTCACCACAAAAAATGGAATTTAGTGAAAAGATAGTGAAACCGGTCGGAGATGCTCTAAGTGGTGGGTTTATTTGAAAAAAAAAGGAAAAAAAAAAAATAATGTCCCTAGTTGACTGAAAGTCAATGTAAGAGGGCATATATGTAATTTACACAAAAATATAATCAAATATTCTTTTTTTTTTTCTTATTATTTCTTAATTTATTTAGTCCCAACACGTATGCAAGCAAAAAAGCTGTTCGGTTCTCCCGCGAGTTTTAAAAGCCGAAATCAAAGTACAACCTCTTGTCTGCTCCTCAATCCTTCTCCTTAGCCTTCTCTCTCTCTCTCTCTCTCTCTCTCTCTCTCTCTCTCTCCTCCTCCTCCTTTTCAAAATTATTTTTTTTTATTTTTCTAATCTTTCTATTTACATATCAGAAATTATGATACCTACTGTTCATCCCCTCATTTGGGTTTCCCATTTTTAGGTCTTTTTTTCCCCATCTGCATTTCCTCCATATCTCTGTACCAAGAAAATTAAAATTAAAATTAGGGTTTTTAATTTTTTAATCAATCCATTGAAATCCCCTAAATGGGATTGTCTGATACTCCGCCGTGGGCTGTATTTTTCATTTTTCTTTAATTTTCGCTTCGTATTTTTTAATTTTTTTTAATTAATTTGGAAATACAGGAAATATTACTGAATGGTGTATTCCAATTTGGGCATTTCTGAAGGATATTACTTCAAGGTTAGGGTTGTGAATTAATTAATTATTGTGCATGATTAATTAGGAAAGATTCTTGATTTATTTGTGGGTTTTGAATTTCCAGTTCTTTAATGAGATGAATCCTTATTTTTAAGTGTAGTATGCATGAAGAAAGGGGAAAAATGAAACTAATTTACAGTGGGCATTTTGGTAATTTTGTAGGATGGGAAGGGTAAAGTTGAAAATACAGAGATTGGAGAGCCTGAGCAGCAGGCAGGTTACTTATGGGAAAAGAAGGGCAGGAATATTGAAAAAAGCCCAAGAAATTTCGGTTTTATGCGACATTGATATTATTCTTCTTATGTTTTCTCCGACTGGGAAGCCGTCTATTTTCCGAGGACAAAGAAGGTAATTTGTCGAACATTCGTATTGTAAATGTATTCTTTTACTCGAATTTTTTTGGTTATGTTTTAAGTGATATGAGTGATCGTGAAGTGTTGTATCGGTTAATTTAAGTTAAGTGCTCGAAACATTGGAATATTTTTCGAGTGGTAGAAATTTTTATAGTTTTAAGTGAATTAGACTTAAACGACACGGTAAATCGGAATAATATTAGTGTAAGTATTGAGAAAGGATACGTTAAATGTACTTATCGTTAGTTATTTCCACTCTTTCTTGATTATTTTTTCTTTGAACTATATTGCCATTTCGTTGATGTTTGAAAAAAAATTTAATTAAAAAATAAAAAATATTTCGCTAATATTTTGTTCGTTTTTCGGTTTTAGCAACATTGATGAAATGATTACAAAATACGCTCAACTCACACCTAAAGAACGGGCAAAAAGGTAGATAGAAATTCTCCCATTTCGACATTTTTTGCGGAGTTATTTGTGATATTATTTTAATTCGTCCCGTTTTCTTTTTTCTTTTGAAATTCTAACAGGAGGTTGGAGAGTCTCGAAGTAAGTTTTTATTTTTTAATATTGAATATATGTTTTTCATCTTCTTGAAAATAAAATTAATGAAGCTGATTTTTTGGGATAAATCGACGTATGATAGACTTTAAAGAGAAACTTCAAGAAGCTTGACCAGGATGTCGATATAGAGGAGTTTCTTGATACAAGGTAGACAAACTCGATTGTTCGATAATTTTTATTTACTTTAATCCCATTGTAATAATAATATCTCACTAAACTTTTCGTCTTTTTTTATTTTTATTTTTTGCAGTACTCCGTCAATAGAGGTATTTATTTATCTCTCACTAGCCATCGAAGTGATATTCGAGACGAGATTCAGATAGTTAGAAAAAAAAAATATTTTAAATTTTTTTTCTTGGTAATCGTTTTTTGGATAGGAAATGCAAAACCGATTAAGGATGCTGCAAAGCCAACTTGCTGAATTACATAAACGAATAAGGTGCAAATCTTGAAAATTTTACAGAACTTTAACCAACGATTTACATAGTGATTTAGTTATAAGCTTCAACTGACATTTTTATTTTTTTTTATTATTTAAGCTGGTGGGCGAATCCCGACAAAATTGAAGATATTGAACACCTTAATCAGATGGAAAACTCGTTGAGGGAAACACTAAACAGAACTCGCATGCATAAGGTATATTCCGTTTCTTTAGTCTGTAATACGCAAGACTTTTCGAAACTATAAATTTCAAGTGCTAGAAATTTATAGTTAAGAAAAAAAGAAATGCATTATATAAAAATGTATTTACGAGCCGTTTTAAATATTCTCGTCTTCTTTCAGGAGGAAAAGTTTTTGAAGGACACGCATATTCCATTCGATTGCACAAACCAGGTAACGACGCAATAAATACTACTACATAAATTCCGTTTTCTTTCTCTTTCTATTTCTTTTCACACATGTGATATAGGTTTGTGGAGATTTTGCTAGGGTTTTAATTTATAACGTTCTAATTTTTTTTTTTCAAATTTCAGTTCCAAACGGGGATGCAGTTTCCCATAGCGACGACGAGTGATCAGGGTTGCGGAAACCAATCATGGCTTCCGGGTGGCGATAGTCAACATATGATACTACCAAACGAGCCCCATTTCTTGACTACTCGGTGAGTTGATCCTTCGTTTGGTTCCTAAGATAAGATTAACCAATATAAGATTAAATAATAATCTTATGAAAACCCGATTATACATATTCTCCTAATCAGCCCAGATCAGAGCTATTTTTTTCCACATGCGTGTCGACCCCGAAAAGTCATTAGACCTAAACATCCAATAAAGTCCAATTATGTAGCTAATCACATAATCCAAACGTGGCCTTAAAGTTCCTTAGATAAGCATACGATACTATTATTGTTTGGTTCCTATATATATTAGGGTAAATTATAACCACTCCCTGAGGTATGGTCAAATTACGAAAACTCCCTTCCTGTTTGGGTAATTACAACCACCCCTCAACTATAAATCTTCGTACACGTCCATCCTTGCGGTTTCAAATTTAGTGGAATCTTCTAGATTATATGGAATATTCTCAATTTTGTACCTGTTTTATCCCCTTCGAGCTCCACATTTTGAAGCAAGATGATCATAAGATATGTTTTTCGGCTTGTATATCTCAGATTGTGGTGCACCAGAAACTGTATTTTTGCACAAAACGAGTACAAATTAGAGAACTTCCCATGGAATCTAGATGATTATGTTGAATTGGACACCACAAAGGTAGAGGTGTAAGAAGATTCATAGTTGAGGGGATAAATGTAATTATCCAAACAAGATGGGTTTTTTCGTAATTTGACCATATCCCAAGGGGTGGTTGTAATTTACCCTATATATTATTCAAAAACTAGGGCCGATAATAGCTTACTCCATATTAATTGAATCATAAAAAACTTCAAATGTAATTTCAATTTATTACGAATTTCAGAGATATGGAGTGCACGAGGGATGCATCGTTTCCGACATGCTCCGGCTACTTTGGCGATTTGAAGGAACACATAAATATCGACAATTCAAGAGAATTGAAAAACGATAGACACGACGGCATAACTATTGACGACTACACGTACTCCGCCAGCTTGAGGCTCCCGATTCCCGACCAATACCAATACCATTCGTTCGGAAACCTAAGCTTCCCGGAGTTGATGGTGGACCCTACGAAAGAGGCGAATTTCCAACCGGGTGCAATGGAATATCAAATAAACAGTAATTTCGAACTCCGGGGCTCTGTTGTTTACAACAATTTTCCGCACGGTTTGGTTCCTTCAGCTGGTTCGTGTGCGATTTCTATGCTGAACGAGAACTCTTATCCACAGGTGAGCCTGTTCTAACTTCCTCGTACATTTGTAATGGAATTTAAGTTGTGGATTAGCTTATTGATTTCTTTAACGTCAAAAAACTCCCCGTGTTATAAATATTAGCAAAATCGCCCCTATGATTCAATTTTATTAGCAAACTACCCTCTAAGAATACGCCATTTAGGGGGTTTGCGCTAAATAAATGCATTGTAGGGCGTTTTTTTCCTAATATTTATAACACAAGGACTTTTTTTACAATTCGGTGTAACACAAGGGTACTAAATGCAATTAACTCAAAAATAAATAATGACCAATATATAACTTTCGGTTTCGGTTTTCTACGATTTACTAATTTTTTTTTACAATAAATGTTGCTAAGGCAACAATGGGAATCAAACAAAGATCAACTTGTTTGAACATTGTGTAATCTTTTCGTCTCATTTATCTGTTTTACTTGTTTATTATTTTGCAGCCGCCGAATTAGTTCAGGTATTAAGTAGAAGACTGGTTCGTACACATTTTGCCCCCGGAAGTTTGGAAGATCTTTTATTGCAAAAGTTACTTCGTACGTGCTGTTGCTCGAGATGTACCTATTTAACCTCCTCGGACTGCGAAATTAGATTCAATAAGAAAATGCTGCCTATAAACAGACATGTGTGTTTGCCAATTTCCTTTCTTACAGGTTTTTAGTTCAGCCCGTCGAATCCTAAACTGATTTGACGGCTCGAGCAACGGTGGGAAAAAAAATAATAAAGAAAATAAAGAAAAATAAAAAAGAAGGAATTGTGTAGCAACATATATTGTTGTAATGGCTAAAAATAATTATTGCTAAATGATAAAAAATCCAATATTTGGTCCATTCATTGTTTACAATACAGCTCAAATTTCAGGCAAAAACCATCCACATTCAGGTTGCTAAATGCGCCTTTTTCAGACATTGTAATAAAATTCAGGGCAAATTACGCCACCCCCGAGGTAACGTCAAACTACGAAAAAACCACTTTTGACACAAGATGATCATAAGGTGTCTTTTGGCTTGTAAATATCAGATTGTTGTGTATAGAAACTGCATTTTTGCACAAAACGAGTATAAAATATAAAACATTCCTCGCAATCTGGAAAAGTAAGTTGAATTTGACACCATAAGTATGGACGTGTAAGAAAACTCATAGTTGAGGGGATGGTTGTAATTACTCAAACATGAGGGGGAGTTTCATAATTTATCTTTACCTCAGAGGATGGCCGTAATTTAACCAAAACTTTAACAACAAATCTATTAAGAACGTCAAAAAACAGTGCATGATTTTAAATAGACTGCAACTGGGAGTTCGTGATCAAGAACACAAAGAACTTCACATACTTGGGAGTTTGTTTGTTTCAAATTGTTTGTCATTTTAGAATTTTGTTTGTTCCAAATTATTTGTCATTTTAAAATTCTGATAAATCATTAGTTGCATGTTTTTTCAATCTATCATTTATCAGTCTTAATTAATTGAAATACACGTAATTACTCCTTCCTTCCGATATTATTTGTTGGTTTGGAAAAGAATATTTATGTTCCAAATAATTTGTTACTTTAGAAGTTTAAGGAATCATTAATTGCTTCTTCTTCTTTTCAATTTAGAAGTTTCATTAGTGAGTGAAATATACGATTTGTGCAAACATAAGTGGCACTTATGTTGTCACAATAGTTAATATGTATAGAAGCCACCAGAACTCATAATTCTTGAAGCAAATTCATGATCCAATTTAACTCTGCCGCAATAGATGCAATAGCACAATATTCAGCCTCGGTTGACGACCTTGCGACCTTTTTTTTTTCTCGCTTTTTATAGCTCCAAGAGATGGGGTTGATACCAAAAAAGATAACATTGGCAGATGTCAATGTTTGATCTGTAGGATCTCGCGCCCAATCTACATCGACAAAGGGATGAAGTGTTTGGGGTGACTTTTTGCCACATGAGTCCATGATCGATACTCAATAGTGCCAACGAGATAGCGAAGTAAGCGCGTTTCACAACAGTCCAAGTCCGCGAAGATAGACAATGCATGAACTGAGATAGTTGATTAACTGCAAATGGTATATCTAAGTCAAGTGAGAGTCAAATATTGAAGGGCTCGAGTGTTTGCCGGTACAAAGTCGCATCAGTTTGAGATACCTGCAAGAAGGCATTGTTAATATTTAATTAGTTGGTGTAAGTGGCAACCATTGGCTACAACAAGTTTAACTATTAGGAGAATAATAGCATGCTTAACAATTGGACAGTAAGTTTCAGAAAAAAACAATTCCTGGACGCTGAATGAATCACTTCGCTACAAGACGGGTTTTATAACGGGCTATTGAACTATTCGAATTTCTATTTATTATTTTCGATTTCAATTATCAAAATTTCAATTTCCATCGTGTCTATTCTCATTTACCCATTTTTTTTTTATTGTCTAATTTCTCGCAAGTCATATCTATTACTTGTAGACCACCGCTGACGGTTCTACCTTTTGAACATTATTTATTGTAGAAGTTGAACATATAATTAAGGGATTATTTGACATAACCCCTGATATGACATTTACTATTAGTGGGCGTCCATTTTTTTTTTCTGCTTTTTAAGATAAATCACTAATTTATTTTAAATTATATAGTACAATTATACCCTCCACCAAACTCATATTCCGCATCGTTTAACCCTAGTCACACCAGTTTTCTCTCCCCCTCTCTCTCTCGCGCGATCGAAATTCATCCACCATCTCTTTCTTCTGATTTTCACGGAATGAAGGACCACTGTGGCGGAAAAAAAAAATGCAAGAGAAAGCACAAACAGAAGAAATCGATGTCAACGAGATTATAGTGGATTTTAAATTCTTGCTTTGGAGACCGATTTTTAATGAATGAATTAAACTGACACGTTGTTGTCTTCTCTTTCTTTGGTTTAGGTTCTTCCACAAACGAAGTGATTGCAGCAAGTGGGACGATGTTAGGTGATGATAAGTTTGTAGTGTTTATCAAAGGGTCACTCTAACCTAACAAAAACCACGAGCAACACTATCATAAATTCGGAAGTTTGTAGTGGATTTTGATAAGTTTGATGTTGATGTATAAGTGTTTTTCTACGATAAGTTTGTAGTGGATTAACCATATATTAAGTTAATTTTATAGTGGATTACTTTAACCAATAAAGTGGATTTTGATAACTTTGTAGTGGATTTTGATAATTTTGTAATGGATTACGTTAATTCGTAGTGGATTATGTAAATTTTTATTCGATCTTGATACATTTGTAGTGGATTACATTAATATTAAAGTTGATTACGATAATTACATAGTGATTCCAACGTTAATTGCATTGTGGGTTTTGAAGAATTTATAGTGGTTTTCAGTGAGTATGTGGTGGATTTCAATTTTTTGTTAAACTTGCAGTAAAAAACCATTTAAAAAAATGAAAAATGAAAGAAAAAAAAAACAATATTTTTAAATCGAAATTAGAAAAAGATTGTAAAGGAATGAAAAAAATGAAATGGCGTGATTTGCATTCAGAGATTTGGGCGAGTTGGTTAGAGATTTAAGGGGAGTTATTTTAGGGGAGATTAGCCCGATTTGATTATGCAACAATAATTTAATTATATTTTTATGAATATAATAGGGGTAAATGAGGTATTAACCTTAATGAGGGGTTATCCCTAATAGTGAATAAAAAAGTGAATTTATACCTCTAAGAAACTTGTACGAGTAGGTTATATCATATGACCCCTATAATTAATTAGAGAAGTTTATGAATCACTTTATATTACTTGTAAAATTGCATTTTAATTTTGAGATTCTTTTATTAAAATATACAAGCAAAATATTATAAAAGTTAAAAAATGTTAAATTTTTTGTTTGATGTTAACGAGTTCATCGAGTTTGGCGGGTCGAAACCGTTTAGTTTCGCTATGGGTCGGGGCAAATCTAGGTATAAGCTAAGACAGGTTAGGGCGGGGCTAGGTTTTATATATATTTTCACGGGTCGAGTTTCGGGTTTAGACAGACCCGTTCCAAAACCTACCCGTTGCCATCCGTAGATTATTCATTAGGGTATGTCCAATGGAGTAAGCAGATCGGATCACCAAATTCTATTTTAGAGACCTAGTAGAATTTAGAGTCTCTAAAAAGCATAATTCTATAATGGAGGGCTCTATAATTTTGAGTCTTTAAATTATGTTATGGATTATTTTATATAGTAATTTGATTAGGGCTAAAATTTTATTAATATACGAGATTGTAGAAAATTAAAGTTTATTTGAACAATCTTAATTATTTTTAATGCATATTTCGATCCAAAAAAATGATTTTTTTTTTAAAGATATGAAATGTTGAACCACAATCATTGGATATAATTTCAATTAAAATATTTGTAACCACCCACTAATTTCCACTGCCTTTAACCCCACATATTTTTTTTTCCTTTTTTATTTTTTGTTTACTCATCTCTAATTAGTTAAACTTAATTAAGCACAACAGAGCACGCCCTTCCTCCCATAATTTTATTATTCTCCTTGTTTATCAACACACCAGAAACATAGAGGAAAAAAATATTCTGCTACAAATTTCTTCAAGTATTGACAACCTACCCAACCATCTACTTCTAATTTCTTCAATTCTCATAAGCCCAGTGAAATTCCTCCAAATTTCTACAAGCATTGAAGAAAACAAAAAACTCACAATTAGAAAATTTAGAAGTGATAAAAAAGATGAAGAATAATTAGAGGTCTTTATGTTTTTTTCATTTTTTTCTTACCGTTGGAAACCAACGATTATATTTGCAAATCATTCAAATTTTAATTTTTATTTGAAAAAGAAATTTCAAAATTTAAATGCAAGAAATGTGAGTCTCCCCAAACAAAGACATCTAGGCAATGTTTGGAAGCATTTTTATTTTGGTTTCATTGATTCCCCAAAACAAAAATTATATTTATTAAACTTTGCAAATAATTTTCTCAAAACAATTTCAAAAGTTTCTCTCTCCTTCAAACATGATGTGACTGTTACAGTAAAATGATTTTACTGCTACAGTAAAATATGTCTTCACTAAAAAATAGATAAACATCACTTCATCTTTCAATTTTTTTCTTCTAAAATACATTTTTCTAACACCTTTAAACATGATTTGACTGCTATAGTGTATTTTGTCTTCTTCCAAATTATAAACAAACATTACTTTCATTCTCAAATTCTTTCCAACAAAACATATTTCCTCAAAATAAAATCAAAATAAATAAGTTTCAAAACACTTCCAAATATACCTATTATTTAGGAACAAATTTGGAGATTTCACAACAATCTGAAAATTTAGGGCCCTTCTAAATATTTGTTGGTGTTGGATTTCTTCTGCAGTGTCTATATTTTGCCGGTTTGCTTACTCAATTGAAGATGCCAATATGTGTGATAAAAGTAGTGTGTGGTTTAAACTAAATGTACATGAATTAAGAGTTGTAATAAATAGAATTCAATTCAATAGAAAACACAAAATTATTCTTTAAACATATTAAGAACTTATTGAAAAGAAAAAAAATTGAATTTTATTGCAAAGTATACTGGTCCAATAATATAAGTAATTCACAAAATAGAAAGCTCGTGGATTGAGGTAACAGTATGACAATAAAACCCGGGGCTCATAGGTCTTTTTTATTGCAGTAGACAAAAGGCAAAACCTAGATACAGACAACATCAACGGTTTACAATTTAAAAAACATCTGAAACAACACTCTTACCGAGGAAGCTTCATCACACTCAACATTGAGAAAAGCACCAAATTTGCTTTTCCCAATACACAAAACTATGGACTACCAAAAAATAAAATTAAAATTAAAAAAGTTAAATACAATTTCACCCCTGAAGTATAACTTATGTAAAGACTTGCCCCTTAAAGTATTATTTGTACAATTGGCCCCCTCAAAATCAATTATTTTATATTTTAAAATTTAAAACATAATAAACATTACAATCTAATAATTATTTGATCATATAAAATTGAAAAGTAACTAAAATTAAATTATTAAAAAGTAATATATATATTGTATAATAATTAATGAAAATATATTTTTAGAAATTGATGAAATAAATTAAATTTAAATACTTAAGATTACTATTAGTTATATATTGATTTATTAAAATTTATCGACATGAATATATTCGATTAATTGGTCCAACAACAATTAGATGTTATTTAATTATCAATATGAATATGTTTTAATAAAATAGTTTAATTATTTTTTTTTAGTTATCACTTTTGGTAATATAAAAAATTTGAAAGTATTATAATTAAATAGTGCTTGAGGGGTAAATGCTACGAAGTAATTAATGGCGGGTGGTGATATGATGTTAAATCAAAATCTAAAGGGTAACTTCCACTTTCCGATTATATTTTGGTTCGGTATCACTTTACCCTGTTCTATTCTCGATTATATCAATTTTTCACCCAGTCATTTGACTTTAACATCGATTGATCTAAGCTCTAAAATTACAAAAACACCACATCTCCCGGTTTAAATAATTTAAAAAAAAACAAAAAAAAAATAATAAAAATTCAAGACAACGAGAAAACATAGTGACCAACGCCAACCACAATTTTTTTTTTATTTTTTTAATAATTATTTAAACTGAGAGGGGTGATTTTTTCGTAATTTTTTGGACCTAGATCAAACGGTGTTAAGGTCAAAGGTCATAAAACTAACGACGATGACCACATTGAATTGAAACAATTTTTCAAGTACATGGAGACAAATCAATGCAATCGAGAGTAGAAAGGGATAAAGTGATATCGAGACAAAGTACAAGAGGAAAAAATGGAATTCACCCGAACCTAAATCACTGCCAAAATATCTGTCTTAAATCTTACATTAAAAGAAAGACCAAGACATAAAACACTTCATCAACATTATGAAAAACACCCAAATTGGTTCGAGCTTATGTAATAATAAAGCTCTTCCAATTCTCAACCCTAATTTATTTCACGTAGCGTTCAAAAAAACACGTACGTGCAATTTCCTATATTAATATCGAAAATAGATTATTCTAAGTGAATTGTCCTCCGATGAAGGTTTGTCCGAACGACCAACCGTCGGGGATGACATCACTGCACTCCACCGTGCGGCCGTCGCTGGTGGTGACCTTGAACGAGAGGCTTTGACCGTCAAGATTAGAGTTGCTCTGCCAATTTTGCCCCCAATTACGAGACATTGGTTCCCAATTTGTCCTTGAACCTTTTATCGAGACCGATTGTACATCACCGGCGCCTCCGACGTTGGTAATTAAGACGAGATTGAAATAGGAGTGACCATTTACCGTGAACCGAATGCCACCCTTCTTTTGGCACGGTACCCTACACATTTATGTAAAATACACAAAAATATTGAGCCGCCATAAATATAAAGTAGTGTAATTTTTTCCATTGCACCTATACAGTTAGCTAGTTATAGCTGCTGGTTCCTTCAGTACTAACACCAAAAAAAGAAAAGTAGTGTATTTTTTTATTTTATTTTTATAAATTATGCAGATACGTATAAATATATTTACGATTATACATCATACCTTCGATAAAGAATCGGCACAATCCCGGCTTCTTGTTTGGCGATTTGTTGGAAAACGGGCTGAGAGAGGTCAAAGTGTTGGTTGGGCGGGTTGCACCACCCGCCGTCGTTGTTCGGTAAGGCGTTGTTTGGAGGGCAGAAATTAGTTGCAGTTACCACAATTGAGCTTTGGAGGCACCACCTTTCATCATTCACACATTTTAGCTCAAAGCAAGCTCCACAGCTCTGCCCATTGTTGAATAGTGTTGTACTCAGTGCTGCTGTGTTTGTACCGTACCCTTGGCTGTACAAATTACCATACCCACACGCCCCACCTGCAATTAATTAATTCATTAATAACCACCAATTTAACCAACTTAATTCACTCCATGGCTTAATTAACAATTCAAGAAAAATCGAATTGGAAATGTTAAAGATATTAAAATTAAGCCAAGTTGCAAACTGTTTTAGATAATTTACATGAAAATTTGAATCGGATTTGAATTATATAATAGAAGTTCTAAATTGTTTTAATTTGTATGCGAGAATAATTCCAATTCTGATCCAAAAACTAAAATAAAAAACGAAAATTGGAATTTGCAAAATTTGGAATGGAAAAAAAAATACAAATAAATTGTTCCATAGTCGAAAATTTTCAAAGAAAAACGACAAATCTTGAAAATTGCGTTCTGATTTCTGACCAAGTTTCATTTATTTGAGAAACATAACATTTCAACTAATTAATACATACATACATACATACATTCATAAATACATACCCATGGTTCCAGAAGCATCACCACCACCATAAAAAGTGGCATGAGCATCATTCCACCCTCGTTCAGAGCCGCCATTTGCTACTATTATTGACAAGAGAAATAACAAACATGCAATTGCTATAAAACCCCTCAATCCCATCATTTATTTTCCTGCTATACAAAAATTGAACAAATAGCTAGTATAAGAAATTATATATATAGAGAGAGAAAGAAGTGAGAGAGAGAGAGAGAGAGATCAGTAGACAGTAATTAAAACACAGCAGTGTCTCTTAATTACCTTAAAGAGTAATTAAATATAATAATAATTATATGAGTGAAATGAATTGTGAAGGGGAAGGATGGAGGTCTCTGAATAAATAGAAGTTCCTGTGGGTAGTATAGTGTATATAGGGCTGACGTCACATAATTTACAATTTAGCGGCGCTGTGGAGGATTTCTTGTTCATCGAACACGTGGTCTCCACAATTCTGCATGTCTCTCTGTCTTTTTTCTTTATTATTATGTCTGTGCCTCTCTCTCTGTGTGTAAGAGAGGGGGTGGGGGTGTACAGTACAAGTTACAACTTACAAGTTACAATACCGTTATTTGTCTTCTTTTTGCAGAAATCAAGTTCAATACAATAATTAATTCATTAATATTTCTGCACTTACCGAGGCACACTTCTAATTATTTTTTTCTCCTTTTTCTTTTCATCACTTGGCTTTTAGGTATTTTAATTTATTTAATCAATCCAACAATAGGAAGATGATTATAGGCTACACTACATGATCAACAAGGCTCAAATATGAATTCGAGTCGTGTACACGAACGACTTTAATACATGCACAAGAGTATTTTTTGTTCATTCAGTAAGTGTGTTACATCCTGGGGTGTAAGAAAACCGCGTGGACCTAGGATTCGAATGTAAGAGACGAAGATGGACAGGATTGGGGTGAATTGGGGGCTGAAGAAGAAGAGGAACCCTAGAATTGCTAAAGGAGGAGTCTTGGCACAATCGGGAATTGAAGAAGAAATTGAAGGACAAAACGATGTCGTTTTGGATGCACCGGACTTCGGGGCAAAGGGCCGAATTTAGCAGCCCACTTATGTTACTGGTTTAATTTTATTGGGCCATTTGTTTGTCTTAAGCCCAATAGTTATTTTGTCTGTTTTGTTTTAAGTTTCTGCTGATGTTTTGTGTTATTGGGCTAGGGTAAGAAATATTCCCTGTATTGGAAGGGGTATTTATACTACTGCTGGGATGATGAATATTTTTATGAAAAAGTTTCACTAATCCTTTCCTTTCCTACTTTCTTCCTTCCCAAGTCTTTCTATTCTTATCTCAGTTTCTTAAATTGATACAGTAATTACAAATATTATCATAAATTACAATAAACAAATATTATTACATCCGTGGATCTTGACAATTGGTACTCAGAGCAAGGTCTGATCTGATGGCGGACGGCACCAGATTGGAAGCACACCGGAAACTGTTGGAGCAGAAGCTGCAGGAGGAAATGGACAAGAGAGTGGATGTGGAAACAAACCTGCAGGAACAGATCAGCTTAAATCATGAGGAAACAAAGAAATCATTTGAAATCATTCAAATTCAGTTGGGCAAAATAGCGGAGAGAATAGAGATGTATAATAGAGACAAATCCATTATGGGAGAAGGATCTGCATCAGGCACAAATCCAACACCATTTACTGCCCAACCAGAGCAGTTCACCAGGCCTCAAGAATACAAAAACAACAGGGGGCAAGATGTGATGGTAAACTCAAACCCTTTCTCTGGTAATTACAGCCCAAACCCTAAGATTGAATTCCCCAGATTTGATGGTAGCAGCCCTAGAACATGGCTGTTTAAGTGTCAAGGGTATTTCCAGTTGGTGTCTAACATACCTGACACTCAAAAGGTGGTGTTAGCTGCTTTGCATTTTGAGGGTAGAGCAGCCATTTGGTATGGGCATATCTCACAGAATAATAGGGTTTATTCTTGGGATCAGTTTGTTGGCTTAGTTTCTGCTAGATTTGAGGATCTGAGGGAAGCTAAAGTGTTAGCTGAGATTGGCAAGTTGAGAGTTACAAACTCTTTGGAGGCCTACATTGATAAATTTGAGGAGCTTAGAGCTTATTTGTTGATGTTCAACACTAGAGAATATGATGATGAGTTTTTTCTGACTTTCTTTGTTAGTGGTCTGCCTGAGGAGAATCAGAAATTCTTTGATTTGTTTGAACCCAAATCATTTCAACATGCTATTGAAATGACCAGGAAACAAGAGGCTACCCTAGAAGCTGTTTCCAGGAGGGCTAAAGGTGGAATGAAACAAATGGTGCCATACCAGAACCAGCAAAGGAGACCAGTATCAAACTCTGATTCACACCAGAACCAGCTAACTAAGACACAATATACCCCACCAGCCCTCATGCCACCTAGGAAACTACTTACTAGGGAAGAAATGAAGGCCAGAAGAATGAAGGGCCTGTGCTTTAACTGTGATGAACAGTATAGCCAAAACCATAAGTGCAAGTTTAATCAATTGTATATGATTATGACTGATGAAGAGGAAGAAACACATTTACTCACCATAGCTGGAGAAGACAGCTCAGAAAGAGGAGAGATTAACTGTGATGGGGAGGTATCTTTGAATGCCATTGAGGGGAATAGTGGTGTGAAAACCATCAAGGTAGTTGGTGAAGTAGAAGGGGGACCTCTGAACATTCTCATTGACACAGGAAGCACCCACAGTTTCATCAGTGAAGTTTTGGCTATCCAGCTCCATTGCCACATTGATGAAACTAGCCCTATGACTGTGACAATGGCAAATGGTTCCAAGACTGTCAGCAAAAGGGTTGTCAATGGCCTAATTTGGATGATGCAAGGTGAGCCATTCACTTTCCCTCTGAGGTTGCTGACCCTCAAAGGGTTTCACATTGTTCTAGGGTGTGATTGGTTGTGGGAGAACAGTCCTGTGAAGTTTGATTACAAAAGAAGGTTTGTTAAGCTCAAGAGAGGGGATCAGAAGGTGGTGATTACTGCTAGAGAGGACTTTGAGGAGGGCAAGTTGCTGACTGTATACACTGGAATGGGCAAGGAAGAGGCTGATTCTATTGGAAAAGGGGGCCAGTTTTGCACAATTCAAACCAACAGTGAGGCTGTCATTGTGCCTGAAAAGATCCAGAGGTTGTTGGGAATATATGAGGGGTTGTTTGCTGAGCCCCAAGGGCTACCACCAGTAAGGGGGGTTGAACATCAAATCATACTCAAGCCTGATGCCCTACCTAAACACTTATATCCCTACAGATATTCACACTCTGCCAAAGATGAAATAGAAAAGATTGTTGAAGAACTGTTGCAAGGAGGAATCATTAGGCAAAGTCAAAGCCCTTTTGCATCTCCTGTCTTATTGGTTAAGAAGAAAGACAATTCATGGAGGATGTGTGTTGATTATAGATATTTGAACACCATGACAGTTAAACATGACTACCCTATACCAATCATTGATGAGCTTTTAGATGAACTGTATGGAGCTAAATGGTTTTCAAAGATAGACTTGAGGTCTGGCTATTTTCAGATTAGGATGAGAGATGAGGATGTGTACAAAACAGCTTTCAAAACCCACCATGGCCATTTTGAATTTATGGTGATGCCATTTGGGCTTTGTAATGCCCCTGCCACATTCCAATCTCTCATGAATCAGGTGTTTGCAAGGTATCTGAGGAAGTTTTTGTTAGTATTCTTTGATGATATACTGGTGTACAGCTCAAGTTTGGAAGAGCATATGGAGCATTTAGACACCACTTTGACAATATTGAGAGATCATCAGCTCTATGCCAAGAAATCCAAATGCCAGTTTGGACAGACCAATATAGAGTACTTGGGCCATATTATCAGTGCACATGGAGTGTCCACTGACCCAACTAAAGTTCAGAGTATGGTGAATTGGCCCAAACCTACTACTGTCAAGGGGCTCAGAGGCTTCCTAGGACTGACAGGCTACTACAGGAAGTTCATTAAAGGGTATGGTATTGTGAGCAAACCCCTCACTGACATGCTTAAAAAAGGGCAGTTCAAGTGGACACCAGAGTCTGAGCTGGCCTTTACACAACTCAAGGAAATTATGGCAACTTCCCCTGTTCTTGTTTTGCCTGATTTCACCAAACCATTTATAGTAGAAACTGATGCCAGTTCTACTGGTCTGGGAGCAGTACTGATGCAGGACAGTAAGCCCATTGCATTCTTGAGCAAAGCCTTAAATGCCAATCATCAAACCCTATCTATTTATGAAAGGGAATTTATGGCTGTTCTTCTTGCTATTCAAAAGTGGAAGCACTATTTGCAAGGCCATCACTTCATCCTCAGAACAGACCAACAAAGTATTAAATACATTGTGGATCAGAAATTCACCACTGCCCTTCAACAGAGGTGGATTTCTAAACTTATTGGATTGGACTATGAGATACAATACAAGAAAGGGGTGGAGAATAAGGTGGCAGATGCATTATCTAGGCAAGAACATCACTCAGCTAGTGTTAATGCCATATCTACAGTGCAGCCAAGGTGGTTACTGGAAATTGTGGAGAGCTATAAAGGAGACTCTGAGGTTAGCAAGATAATGGCAGCTAAGGCCATTGATGACACAGCTTATGGGGACTATGGAGTTGTACAAGGGGTACTGAGGTTCAAGGGAAAGGTTTATGTTGGCTCACATACAGATTTGAGGGCTAAATTACTAGAGTTTTTCCACAGTTCAACAATTGGTGGGCACTCTGGTATGTTGGGAACCTATCAAAGGTTAAAGGGTATTTTCTATTGGCCTGGAATGAAGGCCAAGGTTATAGAGTGGGTTCAAGGTTGTGATGTTTGTCACAGGGCTAAACATGAAAACACCCCATACCCAGGACTGTTGGAACCTCTTGAGATTCCTACTGGAGCATGGACCCACATCTCCATGGATTTCATTGAAGGTCTGCCTAAATCTGAGGGTAAAAATGTTATCTTAGTGGTTATTGATAGATTTACCAAGTATGCACATTTTTTGCCATTATCTCACCCTTTCTGTGCAGCTACTGTGGCTAAATTATTTTTAGATAACATTTTTAAACTACATGGGCAGCCAGTGAGCTTAGTCACTGATAGAGATAAGGTTTTCACTAGCAGTTTTTGGGTGGAGTTATTTAAATTATTGGGGACTCAGCTGAATATGAGTTCAGCATACCATCCTCAGAGTGATGGACAGACAGAAAGACTCTATCAGTGCTTGGAGAATTATCTCAGGTGCTGTACTAGCCAGCACCCTCACAGATGGATGAAGTGGCTC